TTTTTTTTTTTTTTTCATATAATATAAGATTTCATTATACTTTGATAAATTTTCATTTAAGACAGCAAACACGAGACAAGAAAAAAAATGCTATTATAAAAAATAAAACTAATGAGTAAATAATGAAATGCCAGAACATAAATGCTGCTATTAAAATTAAAACTAGTTTTGAATATTGAATGTCATACAATAAATAAAATAAATAGTTATCATACAAAGATTCATTCCCGTTTGAGCCACATTATTTTTTTTCATTCTCATTCTTCTACTCATTTTCAACTACACATTTTTTAATAAAATATATTTTTCATCACATCAATAACTTTTTCATTTTTTCAACCATATATTCTCTATTACATCAACAGTAAAAATGCATTATTTTTCAAAAAATCTGTACAAAACGGAAGCTTAACAACAAATGGCCAAGTATTAGGCAAATTAGGTGATCGCTTAAGGCTTACAATTTATTGAAACCTCCAATTCTTAAATTCTAAAAGTAACTAATAACATTGAACAATAATTAAAGATCACAAACGATATTTAGTTAGTAATATTAAAAATATATAAATAGTTTAAAAAATAAACGTTCATCAATAGACTAATTATTAAAAAAATAATTAATAATTGTGTCGAGAACAAAATAAAAGTTAGAAAAGTTTTCATTATCTCAAAATAGTTGGCAATAGTTGGTATTTTTTAACTCACGTCTCGTGTGCTCGTGTTACCATCTCTAATTACTTGATGTTGACGATTAAATCAAAGTCTAGATTGATATTTGTTGAGCACATGCCCATCTTGGATGGATTGTAAGTGTTGTCGAGCTAAGAATCTTGAGTCCTAACTTCACTATGGAAGATCGAACTATGGAGTTCGATAGTTATGCCAAACTCGACACAGAGTGGGATTGGGGTTGAGATCTAGCATAGGAGGTTGTGAGAACAATCAACTGATTTTGTTCTAGTTACCCGGAATTGCCTTCTAACTCAAACTATTTATGTATAATTATTATGCAACCAACTTCAAATTAGCAAGTTGGCCCTTCATAAATTTTGTCTAGTAAATAACATTTCTTGCCATGAAAAAAGTACAATTTCTTATTACAAATGCCATTATATATATATAAAAACAACTTACATGATATCCCTTCGTTTGCACTCTTGTGAGCACGAGAGAATGGCCAAAATCCTATTCAAGCTCCTAACCCTTTTTTTTGTCATACCCACTTTCTACTAACCCTACATTTTCAAGCATCGGAATCATTTGAAGTTGAGGACGACAGCGGTGAAGAATACATAATTGATGCACCATTTATTACAAGCAATTAAGAAGCCGGTTCTTGGCGAGCATCAACAAGAAAGGCACGCGTAACACGATGAATGATAATGCATGCAATGGGATAAGGGCTAACAATGGAACAAACTTTTGTTATTGCTGCAAGAAGCATTGCTGGAATGTGCTTGTAAACCGGAATAATTGTGGGCGATGTGGGCAGAAGTGTATGCTGGGAGAGCGTTGCTGCCGAGGGACCTGCACCAATGTTTTGCACACTGCAGCAAATGTGGCCAAGTGCGAGAAAAGTGCTCTATGTGGATTAAGGGGGGGTATGGGTATTGTGGGTATGCACAAGTGAATATTTGGAACAAAGATAGATTTTTGGAATGTGAACAACTAGTTCAAAGCTAAGATTTAAATTTTGCATTTCATGCAAATTATTTTTTTTCAGTGGAGGTGTGAACAATTCGTTTTCACGTTACTTGCCTAATGAACATCATCTAGCACCAAAAAAGTTATTTTCACCCAGTTCAGATAATTATCTGTTCTCTCATATCTGCCATCAACAGCTTAACTCGTACGTCAAAGTATTTACAAAAGAACAAAATGCTAAAATAAATGCACAAATGAATAATAATAATAAGGCCAGAGAACACCTTCTAATGTACAGTAGCTTTACTATAAAGGTTTAGCTTGATCCTATCCTAGTCCTTGTCAACAAAGATGCCAATCTGTCTTTCAGCAGGATCCGAGAGATTACTTTTTGGGAAAATAATCCCGGTAAATTGTAGGATTAGTTGTTCAAAGTCAGTGCATACAAGTTGTTACCTGATGAGGAAGTTCACATGTTGTTGAAGTAGATTAATCACCCTTTGCATCACAAATATCGAAAGAGTTCAACTGCAAACTTTCCCTTCTTTGTAGTGTTTATCTCTCCAACCTGGAGCGCGAGAGAACATATCAGGAAAGCCAGTAGCATAGATGAATGTATATGCACATATATGTGCATGTGTACTGTGTACATGCATGCGCACCACTCGACACATGGGTTGATGCATCCACCTTATGGGGTTAAAGTATTGAGAGCCAAGTATAAAACTACAGATTTTTTGTTATGATCTGAAAATTCATTTTCGACCCAAAATCTCAAGAAAGCAAAGCAATATGATGGCATTTAGTAAATCGCTGAAAAGATGACTCACCTTTAGTCTACCTTTGCCACTTACAGAGATGATGTCTCCTGTCTTTAGGGTTGTATTGCTTTTCGTCACTGTGGTCCAGTTTACACGCACATCTCCATCACTAGAAGGCAAACGAAATTTCAGCAGTTCAGTTATCTTTGTGACGTCGTAAGAGAAGTTTGCATTGATCTTGCCTTGTGGTTAATATAAATGAAATATTTCCAGTTATATACTCAGATAATTCATCAATATGTATAGTATAAAGCTTATATATTCAGATCATTATCAATATGCATAGTATAAAGCAAAACTTCATTTGAGATCAAGATAGATTGCATATATGTTTGACGCACGCAGCCCATATAGAAATAGAGAGAAATATCGATAAGTTTGACATTTAAGACGTAAATAAACTATTTTATCTTGCCTTACAAGATGATTACATTTTTACTGCGCAAAGATCATAAGAAGTTTTTGGATTACTTTAGTACATATTGCTTATTTTATTTCGGATTTAATAACTGTCTAAAAGTTTCTTATAAATTTGGTTAGAATAAAAGACAGAAAAAATGAAATGCCGGAAATTTTGTTTGATAAAACGAAAGTATTGAGAAATTGCCATTCTAGAACAGGGTTCCGTAGGGAATATGATATAAAGTAATTTAGAAGGTATTGTACCAATTTTGAGATAGATAAGGAATGAAAAACCAGAAAAACAATAGTAATGTATGAAATCTTAAAACTCTGTGGCACCTACAGTAGGGAATGCCATTCCAACGATGGATACACCATTCAAAATCCTTTCTTGGTCCATGTTAAATATATAGAAAACCCACAATTAGGAGTCCATATGTATGTTAAATCAGTCCAATACCCCACTATCTGAAAACAAAATCGCTTCCGAGGCCTCTTTCAACGCATGAGAAGAATCATCCAACAGTTCGAAGCAATGCAAAACAAATAGAAAACCCTCAAATGAAGAATCGAAGAAGCTTCACGTAAAGTTAAATGATACTGTTTACCACCAGCGTTACAGTCTGAATATGCCCTCTGCACAGCCAGTCTTTTTAACTCCCAACGGAGAATAGAAAAATAAGGGAGATACTATCGTACCTGATATAACCAGCCATTTTGGATCGTGAAATTTTGAAGCCGGCACTAGCTATGGCATCAAGTCTAAGTGATGCTTCTACAGTTTTCAGAGTCTTGGTACTATAAACATCATAACAGTCGTGTCAGTAACTGATGTCAAACCAACAATATCAATCAAATTTAGGGTAAATGAGTAAAAAACACTAACCTTGGTGGCACGTATTCAATATCAAGCAATGGTATCTTTTCACAGGTAACTGAGACATACCTTACCTGCAAAAGAAAAATATATTTGAAAAAAAAAAATCATTTGTTTATCTGTATGCCACATTTATAAGGTGCATCAAGACTCCTCGAATTCCTGGTCTGCTTTATTCAACTCAGAATATTGCCTGTTCAGGTGTATGCAGATCTCCTTTCCTAGTCAAGTTTTATCAAACTCTATGTCCTGTAAATGCTGGTTGCATTAATAAAGCAGTTGAAGTCAAATTTAGGTAACTTATTAATAAGGTAAATTAACAAGGCAGTAAGGCAAACCTATGGTTTCTGGTTCAGCCAATCAACAAAGAATTTATAAAAGGCACAAAATACAACTGACACAACCAGGGGACGAGAAGTATTTTCATGTTTGAATAAGTTCTGTTTGAGACATTGCTGACTAGACAAATACATCTAAAGTATATGAGGTTCAGCAAGAATGTAAACTTTTACAGAAATCATACATCTACCTTGCTTAGCGATGATACGAGGAAGTCGGCAATTTCAGGAACGACAAGGACTTGAGCCCCCTTCTCTCCCTACATAACCAATAAATGAAGGTACAAATCCAACAAACATTAGCGCAACCAGACATTGACCAAAATGCTAAGCCATGTGTTAGCAATCTACAGGTATATACACTTTTATCTAATCCCTAAAAGCTTTACCTGGAATGAAATTTCTATCGTTTGTCTGTTTTAAAGTTTTTCCTATTCCTTCTGTAAGGAAGTTCATTATCAGGTTTCTAACACTAAATTTAAGTTCCAAATGTTACAATAGTTTTACCCAAAATCTAATACAATTGCGGTAAAAATACATCCCACCTTTGAATTTAATTAAAAATGGTACCTGCAATATAATATCTCCCAGCTTATCCCTAACAATCCCAGTATTGAGGATTGCACCAAGAAAGTCACCATGAGAACAAGGTTCAAACTCGAACTTTCCTGAGATACTGATAAAAGAAACCATTTCACAGTAGTAAAATGACTGCTATTGATTTTTATTATAGAAACAAAAGGATAAGTTGCATAGACTTTTATAGTACGCTACCTATAAAAACAGGACGGTGGATATATGAAGCGACTTACCTCAATGCTGCAACAGTATTGAGATCAGATTTCAATACGTCCGGATGTCCAACAGAGAGCCGGCAACGTTCAGCCTACAAGATTTGAAATATAAAAACAGTTTAACTATAAGTAACCGTTCACCAAGTCTAATGAAGATATGGATTTCTAACCTCTGGGTATCCTCCCTGAGCAACTGCTTTGATTTCATTTAACTTGGTTAACACTGACATTGACTCACTTAGCACAGGTGGTGTGAGAAAATCAGTATGTAAAACTTCTCTCCTTAGTAATGCCCGATCGGCCTAAGAAACACAAAAAGGATAAATATATTTAAAAACATTTGATGCTCAGTAACTTTAGAACTCTTTACGAAGCAGCTCTCAATAATTTTCTCTGCAGCAGCAGGGAGAGTTAAACTAAGAAGAAGAAGAGTGATTTGCACGAGGAATACAGTTGAGAGTGCTCTGCAAAATGACTTCAAAGAAGTATACCATTTCAACAATACGCTTTATTTCTTCAAGTGTTTCCGTGTCTCTCGCTCCTTTGAGTGAAACATCAATACCACCCTTTACAGCCTGTGGCGAGTAGCATATACCCAAAGCTGCATGCGAGAGCGTCAATAACTAAGCAAATTACAGCCATGATTATAATGATTCCAGCAATAAGCTAGTTAAATAAGTCCCTTCGACATTGCAAGAAAATACATCATGAATGGCATTTTGTATTGGAGTTAGCATCCGTTAACTCGGAGACTTCGAAACTTGAGTAGATCAAAACTCGAGTGTAATTTATACCCATCCTACTACGCTCAATCTCAACATTAACTTGTTCGTATCCATTGAATTCAACATATGCAGGTTTGTATAAGTTTCCCAATTTGTTGATTCTGGCCAATTTTTCCAAGAACGGTGCATATGCCCTATGGGATGTGTAAATACTAAATACATGTATTCCCTACATCAATTATCTTCCATACCAAAAAAGATCTTTATTTTCAGACTGAATTCCTCATTAACAGCATATTCCAATAGGTATTCAAGATTATCCACAGTTTCATTTAGGACCTATCAAAGTTTCCGTCAATCAACACGCATTAGCAAATACATCAAAATTCACATATTCAGGCAAATGGGTAGTCAAGATTGTCAAAAAATCCGAATATAAAAAACTAATATTAGGTAGACAAGTGTAAATTGCCACGAGTAAAAATAGCAAGCAACAGATAAGCAGACCTGAGGAACTCAAAGGAGCTGTGAGAGGGAAGGTTCCGAAGTGTGTGAGCTTTTTTGCAATATCGATTGAATGACAGGATGTAAATGCCTGAATTCCCCTTCTTAGGAAAGCTTGAGTGGCCAAGCTGGAGGCAGCCATCGCTGATATGTGTAACGTGCACATCCTTCCACAGTTATAAATACACTATGCTCCCCCAGTAAAACCGGGTTTCTTTTTCTTACTCAATCAACCCGGTTCGAGTCACATTGGGATTCATTTTCCACTGATCTTACTTTTCAAAGTGGGCCCTCTCCAATTACCTGAAAACTCAAATTTATTTTATTTTTTTCAAATTCACCTTTAATTAAACGTTGTTTTAATAAAATAATTTTACACTTAAACTCAATGTTTTTACATATTTTTCAATCACACATTCTCCACAAAATCACTATTATAATTTATTTATTTTTTTAAATGGGTGCTCAAACAAGACCCAAATATTACTACTCACTTATCTACCATTTTCTTTTTTAAAAATTAAATTTTAATAAAAAAATGTAAACCTATACAGAGACAAAGACCTAAATTTTCTAGGTAATTATATTCACACCATATATTGCATTTGAATTCCTCGATTTTTGTTTATTCTTACACTTTCATTTCAAAATTTTTTGGATAAATTCTTATTGTCGACATGAATAATGTTATTCATCCCCAATGGGGATGAAAACACAGTCTAGTTGGTGTTAAATGATAGGTTAAATGAAAAGTGAAATTAAATGACTCAATGAGGATGAAAACACAGTCTAGTTGGTGTTAAATGATAGGTTAAATGAAATGTGAAATTAAATGACTTATTTAATTTCACCTATCATTTAATGAAACATTAACGCCACCTAAACTGTGTTTTCATCCCCAGTGGGGATGAATAACATTACTCTCTCGACATTCTATTAATAGCATATGTAGTCCTTAACTATGGCTTTATTCAAATATTTTGTTTGCGGTGCTTTCAACTTTAAAGGAAAATATTTTGTCACAAAATTTTTACTTATTTAAAAGTATAATGGGCAATTGAGTCTTTTTATGTTCTCCTAACAAACATTTTAAATAGAAACTATTATCAAATATAGCTTATGTTTGGTATAGATTAAAATTAGATTTTTAGTAGATTTTGATAAGAATTATGAAATGTGTTGTTGAAAAATTGTGGATTCCCATGAAATGTACGATTAGATTAATTGTTGACGTTGACTTAAAATTTTTAGGAGATTTTAATCGAAACCAAACCTGGCTATAAGATGTGTAATTTGATGGAAAAATCAATGATAAAAAATTTGATCAAAAAATTTGGGACATAATTGCTATAATAAGCAAATATTGAGAGAATCTTCAATGTAATTAAAATGAGGTGCACCTATAAAAAATAATGTATGAAAAACAACCAAGGGTTAAAGCTCAAGCAACTCTGAGTGTGGTAGTTGCAGATAGCAAATCGACAATATTTTTTTCCTTTTGAATGGAACGACCGATGGAGAAAATGATGAATCCTTCATTGAATTGTGAAAAGAATGAATGATTAAACCCTATTTGCGCTCCATTAAAATTAGATTTTGTAAAAAAAAAAATGCGTTTTGAAATATAGTAATTTTTTTAAAAAAGAATATGCGGTTAAAAAATAAAAAATTTTGAATTTATGTGTAATATTATTTTATGGACGAATGTTTAATTGAAAATGAGTTTTAGAAAAAATATATATTTTCAAAATAACGGAGTCCGCGTGGGCTAAGGCGTAGCAATATTTGGAATTGTGAATCAATTAGAAAGATTTAAGAAGATTTAGCATTTAAATAATAATAAATCCAAGAGGAAAAAAGTTCATTTTCTATGGATATAAACAGGGTCTTGCCTAATTTTTATATGGAAAAATTTCATATTTAAAAGATTAAGTATAATCCATTTCAAAATTAAGAAACAAGATTTAAATCTTCAAAAATCAGATATTTAATTAAAAATTATTTATGAAGTAATTAATTGAAATATATATTTTATTAATTAAATATATTAATGTTACAGTTCTATACTATTTGGCAACAAATTATTTATCGATCACGAATCTAAAAATTTATAAATAACTAATTATTTCACAATCACAAATCAAAAATTTGATAGGTCACAATTTATCCATCGGTCACAAATAAAAAAAAATTATAGCACACAATTTATTTATCAATCACAAATATATAGGTCACGACTCAAATTTTTAGATCACATATTATTTATTGGTCATAAGTTATCAATCACATATTATTTATTGGTCACAAAATATCTAATTTATGAATCACAATCTCAAATAATTGATTTCAAACACTCTTAATCTCATTACTTTCCGCAGTCAACCCTAATCCACCATGGCACCAACCGAAGCAGTGCCACACCACCACCACCACTGCTAGCGTCGCTACCATTGGCGGACACGGGAGGCTGGGGTGAGCACATGCCCTCCAACTTTGCTTTGCTTTTTTTTCTATGTTTGGTTTCAATTTTCGAAATTATTATAAAATGTAAAACAAAATTGAAATATTACATTTTTAATATCATTCTGAAATGCTCACAGTTTAGTTTTTTATGTAGTTAATGGCGTGTGAAACGATCAATTGTAGCAAATGTTACGATTTGTCAAATTAGGCGGTTTAAAATTAGTATTTCGAGAATTTCAATAACATGCTAACTTTAAAAATTCTTCGACGATCGTACGGTAGTCCAATATACAAATCTCTTATATCATCTCAAAACTCGTTTCAAGACCTACATAATAGGCATATTGAATAGTTCAAACAGACATCGAAAATAGTTAAAAATGCGTCAAACGCACGTCTTAAAAAGAGGCATCTAACTCGCATTTTTTTTAAAAATATAATTATTTCATTAACATTTATATTTTTTGTGATACAAATTTTTCAATGTAATTTGTATTGTTTTATTCGAAAATTTATATAGGATATGACATCAAAAATTTTCGAAATTTTACATCCGGAAAAGTCATATTCCATGTAAATTTTCGATTGTAAAATTTCTCTCAACTTTTTTACAAGTTCGATTGTGCCCCCAACTTTAATTGTCTGCGTCCGCCTCTGACCGCCACCTCCAACAAATTACTATTTTCAACTTCAAAACCATTGCCACCACCTCACCATCACAACCACCATTTCCAACATTTCCAACTACAAACCACCACTAGATCCAACAAAAACCACCCAAACAGTCGATCCACTACGACGTCGTAGTCGTCGTCACCAACACACCAACACCAAAACCAAAAACAACGACCCAACAATTTCCATCTAGAGGCTGGATGCAGCTCCGGGCGCTCCTCTCAAGTAATGGCAAGGTGCAAACAGAGGCAGCGCCACCTTGATGGTGCTCTGATGCAGGTGTGTGTGTGGCAAAGAGGTAAGAGATAATGGAAATATAGAGAGAATGAAACGTAAAAATTGATTAGTTTAAAAATTTGGTAGGATGGAATGACGTAGTGGTGGAGTATATAGATTAATTTAATTTTGTAATATTATTATTAAGTTAAAATAGAGAACTATCCTCTGATTTTCGTATAAACAAACTTTAAATTTGATTTTTGAAATTGAAATTTGAAAAATCTGGTTCTATGTTATTTCCACTTTTCCTATTTGCAAGTTGTTCCCAGACATAAGTTTTGGATAACAGCCCAAGTATTTGTTGTGCAAGGCCCAGCCCAAGATTTATTTTGGACCTTAGCAAACATTTGAATTTCCTATAAGTTTAGTAGATTTTCCAATGGAATTGTCACAAATGGTACTAAACAGGGTCGAGAAAGTTTCGCTTTTAACTCGTTTTAGAAGAAAAGTTAAAATTTACATTCAAAATTCAAGCAATTTCAAAAGCGTATAATACAACTTCGTAACAAAATCGTATTAAGAGTTGTCACAAATATTTTCTTAATCATGAGAGACCATACGTGTTAATTTAATCAAATGTTAAAAAAATAAGAATGTGAAGAAAAAAATTGAAAACATAATAAAATTCACTCCAACTAAAATATGGTATATATAATAATAATAATAATTAAAAAATATCTAAATATAATTACTCGTATAATGATTGCATTTAACATACCGTTATATCAAAATCACATCAATATCGTAACTTTACATTTTTTCTAATCAACCATTACAAATTATCATTACAAGGAATCCACACGGTAGAGTTATTCCCCTCGTATAGTGTAATTTTGTACATGGGCGTAAAGATGTTACGATGACAGCATATGTGGTTGGATTTATTTATTTACTCCAATGCTCAATGCTTGTGAATCAATCTAGCAAAATTGTTTGTACATATAGCACGCTTCAAGAATTCAATGCACGTATTTGAGTTTTCTTATGAATTACTTACAAAGAATTTATATAATACAAAAAGTAAGAATCTCTCAAATTTTTCAATAATAAATGAGTAATAATTATAAGTTATTACAAACATAAAATTGTAATTTCACTAGACTGTTTGCTTTTAAGAAAAGAAAAAAAAAACCGAACAAGCTATGTAATGGAAGAATTTTGCTACAGGAGGTTGCGGAAGCACCGGTGGAGGGACTGCATTGGTTGTCATAATTTTTTTTCCCAAGGAACAATCAATTGTTGAGTAGTTCACATCTATGTACCTGTAATACTATCCGTCTACCACTTCTGACAATGTAGCAAAACTCGTAACGTAATTGCAGCCTTGCTATAGTGACAAGTTCAATAGCACATTTAAAAATAGGGGACACACGTCAATATATGATTGGACAGTTTGAAAAAAAAAAAAACTTGAAACAGAAGTCAAGCCATTTGGGATTAAGAACAACGAGCCATGACCACCTTATTTACCAGCCCGCCGTTCAACTACCAAAACACAAGCTAAGCGGCGGAGACAAGAACGAGCCCACCTAGAAGCCTTCAATATCCTTCTCAAAATCAAAACTCCCCTGTTCTCTACAACACCCTTGTAAACAATTTCTTAATTTTTAATCTTTTTGCATTTTCTTGCTTCATTTTTATGCCCTAATTTCACTTTATTGCTCCTAAAATGGTTGATAGGCTTCAAGGATCGGAGTTTTGGCTGCAGTTTGAGTTCCTCGCGGATGAGGATCCTGTCATGGAGAAGGAGAAATTAAACAAAAAAAAACTAAGTTAGTTTCCGAGTTGTGCATCCCCAACGAATTTCCCTACAATTTTGGCAATTATGGAGTCGGCTATCCCGAAACAGAGAGTGATGATGAAGACTTGTTCGTCGAGTTTTCCCGATCCTCTTTCTACCATCATCTCAACCCCACCAAGCCTCAAAATCTCGAGATGCCATTTATCTCTCTTTCAATGGAAGAGTGGGCTCTGGGGTTTATAGTCCGGTCGGAGGTGTGGCGCCAGTTGGTTAGTCGACTATGGAGACGATGGGTGTAGTCGTTAGGTGAAATTAGATAATTTGGAGGGAGATCGGGAAATGTAAGGACCGTTTTTGAAATGGCTGTGTCACACCCTCTGTTTAACTTAACCTATTAATTATTCACCACAATGGTCTTTCTAACAGGAAAGAAAAACATACTTTTCATTTCAAAATTAAAAAATGAGATTTCTCCCCCCGGGCCCCGACCCGAACTTCCCTAACCCCTGGGACCCCCCCGGATCCCAAATCCCAGGACCGAGGACCACCCAAACCTCAGACCATTCGGATCCCCAGATCTCGTTAACACATGATAGAGCAGCTGTGATTTCTTCACAAATTTGAATTTCTTTAATATAATGAAAGAATTCTTTGTTTAAATCTTTGAATATTAAAGTTAAAAACACATTATTCATCAATATTATGAGAAAAAAAAATCGAATTTAACCAAATAATATGAAGAAACCTTGAATATAGAGATGAATTAAAAAACCTTGAAGAATGGCGATGGCGACAGAGGCGGAGACGGAGACGGTGAATAAACATTAAAAACAAGAAATGATAATATTTTCAAATTCTCAATGTTTAAAATAGAGGCAAAATGGGTATTGTCATTTTTTTAAATTTTTTACTATTTTTTTTACTTAAATTTAATTAAAGGCCATTGTGAAAAAATAGTCGGATCAACCAGCCATCTACCACCACTTCCTCGAAAGAAGTAATGCATGGTTCCCGGTTTTATCTCACATTTTGTTTCTTTTTTTACTATTCAAATGCCACCTCACCATTTTCAAATTTTCTTGTAAAACATCCGTGAACAACATTCTGTAATATATAATAATTAAAAGGACAATACGTATTAAATTATTGTCGCCCAGGAACGGCATGAGCCGTGCGGGACCTTTCTTCTCGTGGATGCTATTCTGCATAAATAATATTAATATACATGATTTTGACATTGATTGAATATTGCAAACGTGGCATTGAATTGAAAGGGTACCATAAAGTGAAATTTATCAATTTGTTGGGCCAAAGATGTCTAATATCACTACACGTGGAAGATAAATTATTAGCATAAATTATGACCTTTTTCCTTTAGGAAATTTGCGTTTTCATCCTTCAATTTTTGAGAGATATTGTAAATTTATCCTTCATTACTTTTGGATAATGCTAGAAGTACATCACCATCTACATAATGGTGTACATAATGCTAATGTAGCAATCATCCGACCTTTAATTCAAATTTGACACTGACACATCAATGACTGGATGATTGACACATTAACATTATGTACACCATTATGTAGATGATGATGTACTTCTAGCATTTAAAATGGAAAAAATTTTCCATTTTCCATGGAAAATATGGCTAATCAAACAGAGCCTTAAATTTGATTAAAGGCCATTGTGAAAAAATAGTCGGATCAACCAGCCATCTACCACCACTTCCTCGAAAGAAGTAATGCATGGTTCCCGGTTTTATCTCACATTTTGTTTCTTTTTTAACTATTCAAATGCCACCTCACCATTTTCAAATTTTCTTGTAAAACATCCGTGAACAACATTCTGTAATATATAATAATTAAAAGGACAATACGTATTAATTTATTGTCGCCCAGGAACGGCATGAGCCGTGCGGGACCTTTCTTCTCGCGGATGCTATTCTGCATAAATTAATATACATGATTTTGACATTGATTGAATATTGCAAACGTGGCATCGAATTGAAAGGGTACCATAAAGTGAAATTTATCAATTTGTTGGGCCAAAGATGTCTAATTTCACTACACGTGGAAGATAAATTATTAGCATAAATTATGACCTTTTTCCTTTAGAAAATTTGCGTTTTTCATCCTTAAATTTTGAGAAATATTGTAAATTTATCCTTCATTACTTTTTTAGTATATTCCATCTTCAGCTTTTCAATTATGTAACAAAGTCATCCTTCATTCATTTTGGCTAAATAACTTTAAATATGTATTTGATGATATATTTTTATTTATGCTAAATATAAAAAGTGTTATTAATTGAATTTGAATGATTAAAATTTGTGTTCGTTTTCAGTAATTATGTGGATCGAAATAGTTTCATTAACGATATACCAAAAGTTTAATGATAGTTGTGAAATTGAAATATTCCGTCCGATTTATCGATATCCGAACTTAAAAAGTTGCTATATTAACTTCGAGTTAGTTCTACTAGGCACATACACACACCAGCCATATTAATGATTGAGCAATCGACAACATGATGCTACCTAATAGAATCTTGGGCCTACCCTACCCACCTCTTCATAATAAATTATATATCACTCTTTTTTTTTTTATAACTTCTATAGACGACAATTTATATTTTACAATTTTTTAATTGTACTAATCAAAACGAAGCTGAATGTATCGATTCGAGCCTAGTTTAGTTATACAATTTATCGATTATAATTTGATTCGGGTCTATCTCAGTGCATGAGACTATTTGATTCATTGTGTATAATTCATGTAAATACTTAATTCAGTTAAATTGAAACTGGATAGAATCGAACCGTGCACGCTCCAATTATGATTCGCCGATTCAATTCTAAACTATGCTGTTATTCGATTTAGATAAAAATCAGAATTTTTGTAGATTTTTATTAAATGTATGGTTGAAATTTGTGGATCCCGTGAAATATATGATTATAATTAATTGTTGATTTTAGCTTAAATTTTAATCAAATTTTTAGCTAAACTAAACATGGGCTATATATCTCTCTCGGCATTATATGTATTCAATTTCGTGGGTATTTTGAAAAACACATCTCATACACACTTCCTTGAATTCATCGAACAAAGTCACACAATTGGTTCTTGAAACAAATTGCATGAATTCTAACAACTATGTTTTTTCTCTTTGGTTACGTAATGAAATTATTATCAATGATACAATTAAATTATAATAGTCGTACGAGGATAATATACTTTTGAGTAAAATAATACATTAAGGTCATGTTTAATTGAGGAAAAGTTCCATGGTCCATTTTCACCCACCCAAGTTCCATATTTGATTGGTCAAATGTTATTGGCAATTCAATTTTCACCTTATGCCTCACACGTGCCCAATTCTTGGTTTTTGAGGAATTTCTTTTCCCATGGCTTTGGTGGGAAAATGGTTTTTAGTTTTTTTTTTTGTTATAATTGAAACAAATTATATCCCTAATTGTAAATTTTTTTTCCCTTCAATGGACAATTTCCATGAAATACAAAGCCAAACGAATATCAAAAGATCCAAAATTTCAACATTTTTCAGATTGAAAATTATACCAATCAAACACAATTAATTGACAATTTCCAGTAAAATGAATTATAGACAATTCAATTACCTGGAATTCATTTTCTTTCAACCCAAATTTCATCATTACAATCAAACAGACCTAATTTCAATAATAAATTTATAGCAACAATTTGTTTATTATTCATAGATTTGTGGGAGAAATTATTTTCCTAGAAAGTCTATTTGTCAATAGCCATGTTCTAAAAGGTGCGCAAATGCGCCTACACGTGACGCGGGTCGTAAATGCGTCGAATTTGAGAAATGAGGGAAAAATGCGTTTCCATCTAAAAGACGCGCCTAGGCGTGCACAATGCGCGCATTATGGAAACAAATTATATCCCCAATTGCAAAAAAAAAATTCCATTTAATGGACAATTTTCATAGAAAACAAAGTCAAACGAACACCAAAAGATCCAAAATTTCAACATTTTTCAGATGAAAAATTATATCAATCAAACACAATTAATTGACAATTTCCAGTAAAATGAATTCTAAACAATTCAATTTCCTGGAATTCATTTTATTTCCACCTAAATTTCATCCTTACAATCAAACAGACCTAATTTCAATAATAAATTTATATCTACAATTTGTTTATTATTCATAGATTTGTGGGATAAATTATTTTCCAAGAAAGTCTATTTGTCAATAGTCGAGTAGAATTGTATTGAATGGCAGTAACAAAAACGATGTTTTGACTAAAGAAAGAGAGAGAACGGAGGGGAGAAGAACATATGCTGAAATTTCAAGGGGGGCGGTCGGGTTCAAAACGGAAGATCATCACAAAATAAATGCTTTCCCATTCTATAATCTGAAAATACGTTAATCTCATTTTACTTTCTTTCCCCCAACAAATTTTTTAACAGATTTACACACAGTAACCTACAGTAACTAGCTGTTTTTCTTTCTCTTTGATCTATATTTTACATATATTTTTATTCTCTCTATTCATCTTCCTCAACAGAATTAACACTTTCTCCCACAACGCAATACATAAACGAAAAGGTTTGGCGTTTTATATGAATCTGATGTTTTTGAAAGCTTAGATGTGATTTGATCGTTATAAGTTGCACGTATTCAGGTTCAATTGTGTAGATTGAAGTTTTCAATCTGTGTTTTTGAGATTATTGCTTAACTGGTTAATCCAGTGATCTAAACTTCTGATTTTTTAAATTAGGTTTTTGTTAGTTTTATCATCAATTTCTGCTAAATAGTATTGATAATATCTTTTGTAAGACTGTTGCAATTTTTGGATTTTAAGATTATCAAAATTTGATTTGGAATTTGGGTATTGTTGAAAAACTACATGAATACGAGCTCCCCCGTGGAAAACAAATTTGCTATTTCTTTACCTATTTTATCCGGTCTCGATAAAATTGATGTAAAAATTATGGCTTCTTCTGCTTAATTTTATATTCTTATGCACAGAAAACACTAAGGCTATACTAAGCTAAGTTGTTTACAGAGACTTTGATTACTTCGCAGGACATCTTAATATTAAATTATTCGGCTAAGACCAGAGTTTTTTGTTAATGGTTCAACAGATCATTTTTCTCTGGGAGTACCATTCAAGGAGTACGGCTTTGAAAGTGCTCTTGATCCTTGTTTAAACATTTGGTGTCACAATAGGGACGACAGTCCACCCATTAATTAGCATTGATGCAGGCTTGCTGAATTCACGACAAAGAGAGAATTTGAGTCCTCTGAATACTAGGGTTCAAATCCGAATGGGGCACTTGAACATGGAGAAGAAATGGGTATTACCTCTTGTTATAAGCTCGTTAGTATGTGTTCTCCTTCTTGCTACCTCTTTCAATATGGGGATGGTGTCCTCGTTGCGCGATTCGATCTTTTCAATACTGCCATCTCGTCTTACAACCAATCAAGCCAGCCCTTATTTTGCGGAGGCAAAGATTAAGCAATCACCACCTCCTCCCCGTCATTCCATTCCAAAATTTGCCTATTTAATTTCCGGATCAAAGGGTGATATAGAGAAGCTTTGGAGGACACTTCATGCGCTATATCATCCCTGGAATTATTATGTTGTTCATCTGGATCTTGAGTCTCCTCCAGAGGAGAGACTGGAGCTTACTTCCCGAGTTGAAAAGGATCCTATTTTTGCAAAAGTTGGGAACGTGTACATGAATACCAAAGCAAATATGGTTACTTATAGAGGGCCAACCATGGTTTCTAATACTCTTCACGCATGTGCCATTCTTCTCAAGAAACATCAGGATTGGGATTGGTTTATTAACCTAAGTGCTTCAGATTATCCCCTAGTGACTCAAGATGGTGAGCTCTTTAGATATCTTTTATTCTTTCAATTACACATCCTTAGCAAAAAGGTTTGTGTATTCTGTTTTGCTTATAACTAGATTTTACTTAAGAGAATGCGATGATTTCTTGTTTCGGTATTGTTTTAAGTTAATGTAGTTTGTTCTTGCAGATCTTCTTTACACGTTTTCTAAGATAAAACGGGAATGGAATTTCATTGAGCACACGAGCGAATTAGGCTGGAAAGAGTAAGCTCTCTGTTTTTGCACCCATGTGAGCATGAGGATGGAAGGAAAAAATGATAAAATTCTTTTTTATACATTTAATTTTGTTGCAGGGGTCAAAGGGCCATGCCATTAATCATAGACCCTGGCCTTTACCAGACAAATAAATCAGATATATTTTGGGTCACCCCACAGAGAACGTTACCCACAGCATTCAAATTGTTTACTGGTCAGTACTGTCAAAATATATTAATTCAGCAAATATATATATTCCAATTACCACGTTAATAAAATTAATATGCATTTCACATGCATCAGAAAATCTCATTCATTCCCTTGCTGTTGTGCTACTGAGTGTGATCTTTGTTGTTTCCGTAGTATGAGTTAGTTCAGCAGCATTTAAGCTGACATAAAATGATCAGGGCATTGCTTCTTGCGGTGTATGCATGTATGAAATCAGGTATTTAAGTTGCAATTACCTAAAATAAGGTAGGATAAATTATTCGCCAAGGAATGCATTTGAAATTGTCTTGTTGTTGTTGGACAAGTTTTGCAGCATCAATTTTCTGACTTGAGCGTATTTTGGAAATTTCACGACACGTTCCTTTCTTCTATAAACGGTTCTGTTATATAGAAGGTTACTGGAACTGGCTTGGGGAAAGTTGAGAAAACTCCACTATTAAATATTCCATGCATGAGATAGCTTGATGTCGCTGTAGCCTTTTCTGCATCCTTATAGAGGCCTTCATCTTGGTTAATTAGAACTCTACCCCCTGAAAATACGATTTCCTGGAATAAATTTGTCATGTCAGTCGCTTGTAAGGCGAGAATGGCGTTAGTGGAAATTGTGCAATTTCTGTACGGATTTGAAGGCTACTAGACCAACACAAATTGATCATCATTCAAATGCGTTCTAGCTTCAACAATTTATTTAAGTTTTTTGGCTTTGATTGATGAAATTCCTTTTTCTTCACTTAACGTGCAGGTTCAGCCTGGATGGTCCTTTCACGTCCATTTGTCGAGTACTGTATATGGGGTTGGGATAATCTTCCGAGAACCCTTCTCATGTACTACTCAAACTTTCTTTCCTCTCCCGAAGGGTATTTTCAAACTGTTATCTGCAATGCTCCAGAATTTGTACCAACGGTTGTCAATCATGACATGCACTATATTTCTTGGGATTCCCCTCCCAGACAGCATCCTCATACTCTCTCCCTTAACGACACAGCAAAAATGATTGCAAGTGGTGCTGCCTTTGCACGTAAGTTCAAGCAAAATGTACCTGTCCTGGACAAACTTGATAAAGAATTGCTGAGACGAAAGAACGGGAGTTTCACTCCTGGCGGGTGGTGTGCAGGTACCCCTCTTTGCTCCGAGGTTGGAAATCCTACCCAGCTTAGACCCAGTCCAGGTGCTCAAAGGCTTCGACGTCTTTTAGATGTACTACTTGTGTCAGCCAAATTTGGTCAAAACCAATGTAATTAGATTTTGGCGTTTCACTCCTTCTTGAGAGCGAGAGAGTTAAACAAAACTAGTTAGTTCATTTGCAACCCTGAACAATAACACGTTAGAATATTGTATCAAACGGACCCTTAGTGATCTAATTCCATTATATTGAGGATCATTTTGATTGTCCAAATATGTGCAGATTAATTCATATATGTACACAATTTATCCCTACTTATGCTTATTACTTCATGATTTTAGTTTAAAACATTTTTTTAATGTAAAATGAAATATTCTTATTCTAAAAGACCTTCACTCTCTAAGTTAGACAAATCGATCCTTATTCAGTCAAAATCTATTCAACCCGGTCCAAAAACAATCCCAACTGGATCAAAATTGATCCTATTTTCTCTCTCAAAATCCCGTTCTCTCCTAAATCTTGCCAAATTAACCAAGTCTTATCTTCTTCTTTCGTGTCATGGTAGATAAAAAGGGTACAAGTTTGATGCATAGAAAGGGAGAAACTCAGAAACCGTGTCGACAAATAGATCAAGTAGGCCTGCATTGTTGTAACAATCAACATACTTACTGCTTACGGAGGTGAACAAGATGATTCATGGTCCATCTTGTACTAAAACACTAAGCTACCTATTGGTTTCCTTTGTTTGATCTTCCTAAGTAGATGACACAGCAAGAGGTAGCTCAACAAAATCTACTCCAAACTTTATTTGATAGACCATTTGCTTATATATTCAGGTGAGAATACGATTTGTGATTGGTAGGTGGGAGAGGGGATGGTATGGTCGGGGGAATTGTAGCAAGAATCTAATTAGAAAACGATTTGATTTGAAATTATGATATGATTAGATTTTATTTTTAACCACGTATTTTATTGAACTTACAACTCTATTTACTTTATTTCATGAAATCGAACAACTTATAATATCAGAAAACTCTGTCACAGGAGTTTAATGTTGTCAAATATGACTAACCCACCTTGGCACACAAAACCCTCAAACCAACTGCACACATGTTCTGGTTGGGAAAAATATTTCTACATTTTTCAAAAAAAATTCAATTTTCAAAATACATTTTTCTCCAAAAACTAATTCTAATGTAGCACAAACAGGGAAATATCTCACATTTTTTCTTGTCTTAAAGCAAAAAATGTTATATTTTAGAAAAATTATCTCCTTTTATTTTAAACAAGTAACATAATTATTTATCTTTACTTTTGATTAATATAAAAATATCTATTATAAAATTTCCTAATTTACAAGTAAACATGGCTAGCCAATCATGAATCATGCTTGCACCTATTCGAGAATATTTTCATTCAATCGTCCACGTGTTTCTACTTCACTCCTAAAAATCTTTTCTTGAATCCCAACGACCTTTACTGAAATCCATGTATTTATAGAATACCAAACCTAAAGATCTATGAAGGACTTTTAGTCCGAAAATCTTGTTCTTGGAAGGAAGTATTTTCTAGGTTTTGATTCGTTGGTTCAGTTTTATAGGTTTCTGGGTTTACTGAAATCCATGTATTTATAGAATCCCGAACCTAAAGATCTATAAGGGACTTTTAGTCCGAAAATCTTGTTCTTGGAAGGAAGTATTTTCTAGGTTTTGATTCGTTGGTTCAGTTTTATTAAGTTGAATCATGCTTTTCAAGTAAATAATTAGTGGGCTTTCTTTGATGATTTCTGATATATGTACTGATTAGTAGTATTAATACTGGCAATGGAAGAGTTTTCTGAAATACGTTGAGTATTTCTGTATTTTTTGCTTTTGGGCGTAACGATTGAATCTTTGTCGATTTTAATAGGAAAAGAGGGGACAGCCATCAGTATTAGTTTGAACAATCAATGGTGTCACTTGGGTTTTCCCTTATATGTATGCTCCATTCTTTGATAGCCTTAACTTGTGGAGCTCTAATGATGTTTTATAGCAATGAGGTGTTTGTGCTTAGTCATGGTAAAGACCACGCCAGTAAGCTGCAGGGATCAACACCACGTGATGAGCTGCTAATTAGGACATCGGACTCGTTTTCGGGTTTGCTTTTGTTTGCCATTGGATTTCTCTTGTTCATGGTGGCATTTGTGAAGGATAGAGAATTTCATAGCTTCTTTGCTAGGGGTTGTGTGCTTCTCCATGTAGCAATGGCTATTTGGAGAATTTACTTTGAAAGGAAGGTTGAGGATCTCGGTCGGGATTGGCTGAGGCTGGTTGTTGGAGACATTGTACTTGGGCTTTCGTGGGTTTTCTTTCTTGTGTATTCATGGAGGGAGAAGTATGATTAGCGTTAATTGAAAACCTGTGAATCTGTGATGTTGGTGAGCACGCTTTGTGAAACTGCGAATTGCAAGAGCATAAATTGGAATACACGTTATTCAAATTTGTTAACTAGATCTGATGTTGAGAAGTGGAAAAATTCAGATTTGATTATTAAACCCACTTAGTGCATTGGGTTTTCTAAAGATCCACTTTGGCATTTCGCAAGTTAGGTAGGTCAGCAATAGCTCGAACTTAGTTAGATTTTGTTTTGTTCTTTGTTATGTGCTTGTCACTTTTGTATAGATCACATTTGCTACAAATTTTCTCAAAAGAGCAATGAAATATTTGGGGCTCTTCGTGTTCATTATCAATCTTGCGTTTGTTTCTTCAGCATTTTGATTTGCTTAAAGCCAAAAGAAGCATGGAAATGAGCTGCTTCTTTCTGTCTTTTAAGCAAAGCCAAACATGCTCTTAATCTTCTGCTAGTTTGTGCGTTTTCTTATGATGGTGTAGAGATTGATATGCTTTATTCGATGTAATAATAGTCCTAGAAGCAAAGAAAATGTTATTTTTTGGATGTTTGAACATGAGATTACAATTAATTTTTCATGTCCCTGTGTAAGTCGAAGACTTAACCTGACTTCCTGAGCAAGAATCTTTCGAAAGGCATATGGAGCTCTCCCATCCACTCTTTAGAGTATGGAAATAAGCTCTAATTGTCCTTAGATGCAACAGCTTGTTGAGTCCAGTCCAGTTCAATCCGGTGTACAATGTCTGCCGTTAACACGGATCTACAAACAAGCTGTAAGTTCTCTTCTGCTTTTCTTTAAATGGGACTTTAGAATCTTAAATTGCAGTTTCAGAGAGCAATGTCTCAGAGAAACTGTATCTTCACTGCTAAATTAACTGTTTCATTCAGCAAACTGATATATAGCTTGTTGTTTGAGTTTTGTTAAATTTTCAATCTTATGCACATGCCTTTATGGATCTGTTCTTAAAATACTTATTGCATTATTGTAGTTACTTTATTATTGTCGTGTTTTATCTCATCCTCAAACCAAATATGCTATAAGGATTTTGTATTATTGGTACACTACAAAGAAGAATAAGAAAGATAATACGAGAACATATAGACACTAATAAGACTTCATTGATAACAGAACACACGGAAAATTACATAATGTAAAAGACAGACAGGGACACAAATTGACACAACAGGAGTACAGAGATAAAACCTTATTCAGACATGGTTACATAGTATAAAGTATTTTGTGTCCCAGTAACTAATTATTTTGTTCATTGACCACAGGTGCAGTTAATGCAAGCACAGGTTGTACCGCACTTGCATTTGCCATCGTTCTCGTCTGCTGGAGCACCCAACATTACGGTCTCAGGGTAGCTGCAAAACACAAATCCACTGATTCAGTTACCATTAAAGATAAGCGTGTGAAGATTTTGGCAGCAATTTAAGAAATAAGTCTGATGATTTCTTCTTGAGCAAGAAAGGTACCTATTGTCTGTCTCGACAATGTCCAAGCCGTAGGAGTTACCCTTCCTGCAAATTACCCGGTATTGCTTCACTCAGTGTATATTGATAAACAAGTATGTGTATTTGTGTGTGTATAGTTTGCATGCATCATGCATGCAATAAAATACATGGCAAAGGGTAATGACCATGGATATTGGGATTTAGCTTCTGGCATTCCATTATATAATGAATCACCTCATCTAAAAGTTTAATCCATTAGAGAGGAGAAGAATTGATTCTTAATCATTTTTCGACTTTCTCCTCTTGTGCAAGCCCGAATCCTTACTCGTTCCAATTCATATCGCCTCGTCTAAAAGAGTAAACTTTTAAAGAGGTGATTCAACACATGATTCAAGAAAATACAGAGCACCAGTAGCGTATTTATGACTTTGGCCTTGTAGGAATTAAAGAAGATGAGAAATACTTACGGGCACTGTGTCTTGTCAGCGCAGTCGCAGTTTCCGCACTTGTCCGACATGATTTTGGTGTTGAAAGGAAAAGAGGGAGCTGGAAATCGAGGGACTTCTTGTAATTGGTGAGTTGCTGCTATATTTCAAGCTCTGTGCTGGAACTGCTATTTATAGTTGGGAATGCAGTTGGGAAGTAGGGGTGGGCGACTCGGGTGTGGGCACCGCGCCTTTGAGGAAAATTCTCAAAGAATCTTGAAAGTGGCCAAAAGCTTCTATCGGGTTCCTTGGTGTCGATTGTGTGAGGCGTCTTTGTAGATGCCTAAGTCGTATCTATCTTTTGTAGGGTGTTTTTTAGCCATCATTTAAAATTTTAAGTTGTTAAGGAATGGACATGTTTCTATATTTAAGTAATCTTTGACACGCTCCTCATGTGCAGGTTGAATTCATATATTTATCAAAACGCCGGACGCGTGACAATATTTTAAAAATATGTGGCACCGAAACTTGGACACAAACTTGGCATTCAAAAAAAAAATTTTTTTTTTTTTGTGCACTAATATAAAAGCTCTCATTTTCTCTCCTCTTTTACTTTATTCCCCTCGGGAGTGCGCAAAGAAGGATGTTGATCTACTTTTGAAGCTTTTCTCTGGAAATATTCTTGAACAATGTCGTGAACATGAATTATTGAACCCATGCATTACCACTTCAGCGGCCCATGGGTCAAGTATAATTATTCGAAACAACTCACTGAAGATGCAACCATCTTGAATTTCGAACTAAATCTCGGTTTTCCCAGTCAAATAGGCCGATTTATTCCACCACTTGAATTGAATCAAGTGTCAAAGCCTCTTCGTCCCCTGAAAGTAAATGAAATTTTTACTATATCACAAAAGAATATTAGATATATTTGAATTTTCGAATAACATCAGCTTAATTCATGTCTTTCTTGAGAAGATTTGAGCAATTGATCATTTCAAATTGAAAAATGGACAGATTCTCATTTTCTTGTTTTTTTTGTGTGTGAGAATGAGCTACTTTAAGATAAAGGCAAGTCAATTTCTTGTCCAAATATTCATATTCCAACTTTTTATCTTAAGGAGAGGCCTAAATAATGATTGTCTTCTTCAATTTCTTTGCTTGCGAGATGAGAAAGAAGATAAAGAAATTAAAGCACAGTATAAGGTTGTGTATAGTGTTGTGTCCAAACACGTCCTTTGAGTCTTGTTCCAAAGTTGAAGAGGACACTTGATTCTCTTTAGAAACACGGAAGGCTATCATTACTTTTTGAAAGTCTGAAAAATGAGATACTCTATGGAAAAAAGTTAGTACATTCTACTCTAGGTTGATTCGATCGCTTATGTACCGTAAATAATGTCCTACATGATATTAAGTAGCAACTTCAATACGTGTTCGAACTAGAATATATCGTGATGATAAATGAACTAGAGGCTAAAGATACAACAATGGCATTGAATGAGAAAAGTTTGGAGGCCTTATTGAAAGCCTTTTTGCATTACAAAGTGGAGGAAATTTCTTTGAACTACGTTCAATGTCAATATTACAATTTTTTTTATATCGACTTTAATTTTTTCAGAGTAAATTATTTAATAATCCACTTGAATATATTTTTATTAGGCGGTAAGCAAAAATTGTCAAATTAACCGAAAGAAATCATCGATTATATGTCACGTGAACTCATCAACAAAATGGTTCTGAAACCAAATTAAGCCTTCAAAATAATATTTGTTTAATTTTTGTCAGCATAAAATCAATCTTAGCGTTCTATTAGGTGTTTGGTGTGGATTAAAATTAGATTTTAGAAGTTTTTGAAATGTATGATTGAAAAGATATGAGACTCGTGAAAAATGTGATTAATATTGATTATTTGACTTTGTTAAATTAAAATCAGATTTTAATCCGGCACAAACATGCCCTCGACTAAAATATAACTATTAAAATTTTAATAACCCTATTACCAATCAATCCATCAAAGTTAAAGCCCTTGCGCCGAAATCAAAATCATATTTCTTCACCCGTAAATTATTAAAAACCAAAATCTCCACAATAACGATTATTTAGATTTAAATTTGATGTATATAGTTTCTTACCTCCAATAAAGTATGCACATATTATATAATCAATAAATTGGTGAAATTAAACTGAATATGAAGAAAAATATTCAATCAAATTGCGGCTTAAAACTGGACCAAATCATTAGATTTAAGTTTTAAAAAATCTCTAAACGTTTTAAATAATTTGGTCTAGGTTTGAAATTTTGTTCAAATCGTCTTAAAAGGTTTGATTTAAAAACATGTCAAAGTTTAGTGACTAGACCAATGAAATAATTAACGAATTATGCTTAAATAATTGCAGCCTAAATACAAATTATAGACACGGTGGGATTCTTATTTATTTATTTTTTCTTGATATTCTATTTTTGTTGAAAGCTTTTTCCATGAAAAGCATTTATCGAAGAAGAAGAAGAAAAAGAAAGAATCAGCTTGTGAGGTCGAGTTTGTTAAGGAATAAAATCTCACATCGAATAAAGATGAAAGAAGAAATTACACAAATCCAGGTATTTGAATGTCACATTTCAAAAATCAGATTTGATAAAAAAAAATTTCAAAAATCAGGTATCAATTTAAACTTTTTAATATCTTAAAATTAAATTAATTTCATCCACCCAAACCCTAATTATTCATCACTCTTCCCTCTCTCTCTCTCTTTCTTCTTTTTTCTCCCTTCTCTCTCTTCGAACGTCGAGGATCGACGAAGGAGATGCCTCGGCCGGCTATACTGCGGCATCAAAGGCTGGTGTTGTTGTTAACGACGTTGTAATCGCTCCGCCGCGACGCTGATATACTGATGTCCGTCGCGAAGGCTGCAGCTGTTGTTTGATATACTGATGTTCGAAGCGACGCTGCAATCACTATGATTATTCATCACGACGGTTCACCGACAGTGGTTGTAGTGAGCTTTGGGCTGTATTTTGTGTGGTGGTGGTGGTGTTATGTGGTGTCGGTTTTGTGGTGGTGGGTGGTGGATCTGGCAATTGGGGTGTGTTTATTGAATTTTGGCAGTAGAAGTGGTGGTTTTGTTGTTGGAAACGGTGGTTTTTTGGTGGTGGTGAATCAGTGGCGATTGGTTTGAGATGGAGATTCCGGTCACTGGTTGTCATGAGGTGGTGGGGTTTCTGGCGACGTTGGTGTGGCTCAATGGTGGTGGTTCGGCTATGCCGACAGTGCATTAGAGATTTGGGTGGTGTTTTTGTGTGGTGGCGGTGTATAGTGGTGTTGTGTGGTGTTGTTTTGGCGATGGAGGCGATGGTGATGGGAGGTATGTCCGGTGTTAGTGCGGTGCAGCACGGCGCGGCGATGCAATGGTGGTGTTGCAAATATGGTGGCCACGATAGCAATGGTACTGGTGGTGGTTGTGAAATTTTTGTTGGCGGTGGTGTTGTTGTAGGGGGGTTTGGTTGACTTGTAACCAAATATTTGTGGTGAATTGAAATCGGGCGTGTGGTGTTTGGTGCATGTGACCACTATTTGGTTTAAGGTGACTAACTATTAAAATGTGACCTATAATTTTTTTGATCCGTGACTAAACTTTATTTGACACTGCATATTAAAATTTTATTTATGACCTCGAAAAAATCTGTGGCCAATTAATTTGATAATATGTGACCAGTAAATAAATTGTGACTCATAAGTATATATCTATGACCATGAATTGTATAATTTTTATTTTAATATATTTAATTAATAAAATATATTTAATTAATTAACTAAATACCTGATTTATGCAACAGTAAAAGTTAATGTCTGATTTGTGAACTTTTACTAAGATGAAAATATAAACTAAATTATAAGAGTTTGGAATACTCCTTTTAATAAAGTTGACCATTTAATATGAAATCTCAAAGTGGAAATTACATCACACCTTATATTTGGAGATCTCAATTCTAAAATCAGGTGAGAGCTTTTTTCTTTCAAAAATCAGAAATATTATAATTAAACTTATTACTAAATATATCAATTAAAAAACTAATTCATCTTCCACACCATTTAAATCTCAAACCCTAATTATTTCTCCCCTCTTCTCTCGTCCCCTTCGCTTCTCTCCTCAACCTACTGTTCCTCTCCATTTCCCTGTCTCTCTTTTCGTCGCCCAAGACTGCTACTCCGGTAATGTTGATAGAATTTCCTGACGGTGCTTCTATAATTTCCTGGTTGCTACGAACTCGCAACGTTTCTCAGGTAGGACCGTCGCATTCATCGAAGGGTCGCCGACTATCGTTTTGGCTCCATCAGCCCTGCCTTAGCCCCCTCGTAACTTCTTTCGCCTTCCTTCAGATCCATCAGATTGCTAGTAAAAAAAGAGTGATGCAGCACCGGCGAGATTTCTCTCTGTTTTGGAAGTGGTTGACGGTGGCAGATCTGATTGTTGAGACCGGTGTGAAGTGGTTTTTGTGGTTTGAGTTTCTCTGTTGGCGGTGCGATACTCGTCGCGATGGTGGTTGTGATGTCGATGTTGGTGGCAGCGTTACTAGTTGTGGTTGGTGCTTTAGTGGCAGAATGGGTGGTGGCAGCGTTACTGGTTGTGGTTGGAGCTTTAGTGGCGGAATGGGTGGTGGAAGAATTACTGGTTGTGGTTGGCGGTAGTAGATTAAATTGGTTTTTTATTAACAATGAATAGGTGTTGGGTAGAAATGGTGATTTTGGTGGCGGTGGAGATGGTGCGGTGCAGGCGATGGTGCGGTGGTTGCGATGCGGGCGACTGTTGTCTGAACCTGTGGTGTGATTCGTG